AAAAAAAAAAAAAAAAAAAAAAAAAAAAGGTTGTCCTTGGACCCACCACCCAGCCTGAAACTCCATCTTGGCCATACTGTCCCCTTCCCTATACCTTCAAGGCAAACAGCTGTTAGAGGCAGGTGGTGGCCAAAGGAATGCAGCAGCAGTACATGACTGGGGAGGGGTGTACACAGGCTCCTGAGAGCCATAAAGACCTGACAGGAGTTATTTGTAGAGTGCTGTGTTCCCACTCAGATGCCAAGGGGTGTTGCTGTGCTTCATCTGTCTTTCATTGCTACCTTTCCTGTAATGGAGCTTCAAGCTCCAGTGGCTTTGTGCTTTTATGGAAGGCATTCTTTTTTAATGTTTTTGTATGGACAGGTGTTTTTTTTGTTTTTGTTTTTTGTTTTTTTTTACACAGAGTGTCTGTAAATTTATGGGCATTTGGCAGTGCTGGTCTGTTTAGTTTACTTTTTGACATTACATACCAAGGTTGAGTGTCCCACCAATTGCTTCAATAATTTGTGATTTAATATAAGAATAATAATGCACATTCCTCAGCACTGTAACAAAACTAATTGATGTCAATGGAAAACTTCCTACTGACTTTAGATCAGCACCAACCCTCGCTGCAACCTGGTAAACTTCTGTTATTTGATGGACCCAGAGAAAATGGCCTAAAAAAGCTTAGGTTACCACACTTAACAGTGTGCCTGAGATGCTGAAAAGTAACAAACCTTTCAGTTCTGGGGCAAGTACAAATTTTAGATCAATAGCAAAATGAATGGAAGAAGAATGTCATGAGTCACTCCCCAGCAGACAGCAGTTGTATCATTTTAGTCGTTTCCTGAGACACATCTGGGGCCGAACTGTTGAGGGGAAAATTGTGTCTTCAAGTAATTTGGAGTAGTTTGAATTTTTACAAGCTCTAAATAAATAAAAATCCAATGGTTTAAATGTAATTGAGAATCTTTTGCAAATTTATCATTAACTAAGCCCATCAGTAACTCTCAATTAAACCACGTAAGCCTCTGGAAGCATAGGTATCTGAAGAACTCATATTTCCATACTTCTGCCTAGCCCTGTCTTATACTAAATACATTACAGGCTAAGAATCAAGAGATCTGTAAAGGCTGGAAATTTGCAGTGACACTGCCTGACCATAATTGGCTACTCTTTCCTGTATGGCACTCTGCTTACACAAACTACTGTTCAGTGTATTGTGATGTCATTTCCAGATTCTTCAACCACAGATTCACCATGTCCATCTGTTTCTCAATTTAATAAATACAGCATGTGTATATGTAGTGTAAGATTTGAGGGGACTTTCTAATGAATGCATGATGTTAAGGAAACCTCCATCTTGTCTTGAGCTGTCCTTATTTTATGAGAAGGATGCCTTTCTCACATGGTCACTCACCAACTGGTACTCACAGCAGTACTTCTAGTTGAAATAACCTCATTTTAAATTTGCACCGTGGCATTTAGGTGTTTAATTTACATGGAGAGGTCATTTTGATGCAGGGGCAGCCAGACACTACCTAGTTGTTTGCTGTATGTGCAACTTGTTGGTAGCTTAAGGTTTACAACTGATAAGTATATGTTATATGAAGGGTTTCAATGGGCTGATACTGCAAATGATAGCATGCAGAACAGCTTGCTTGCTCAGGTCAGAATGAAGATTTGTATACTGTGATCTGTAAACTCCATGAGCTGGCACTCCTACGTTAATGAAGGGTGGCTGCAATCTGCTTTGCAGAACCCAGCAGGTGGCACTTGGCCGTCTCCGTTTTAATGCTGTTGATTATTGGTGCTGTTGGTTGCCTCAAATGTTGGATTTTGAGGGTGGAGGCTTTTTCTTGTTCATGTGCTGATATTGGACTCTGCGAGATGGAGAGAACTTCAAAACCACCAATCCTTGCTGGTTTATGTTTGTGGAATGATGTGGTTTCTCCCACATGTTTTAATTATTTATAATCCTGGAGAAAGAGAATAGTACATAAAGCTGCCTTCCATTTCCTTCATGCATACAATTCTGTGGTACCTGCAGAACACAGTTGTATCTCCCTCCTGATGGCATTATAATACTGGCTAATTTAAGAAAAACCTTATGAAAGAAGTAACTGTTATGGCAGTTATTCTCTTCATTGTCATTAGATCAGTTTTGAGTGCCTGACACCCCTCTCCATATGGTGATGTATTCATTTTTAAGAGAAAGATCAGCTCCATTTTAAAAAACGTTGGGAGTTGTTCGTGGTGCACCCAGAATTCATCCTTTTCTGGGGAAAATGCATTGAGATCTGAGCTATGGTGGAATTAAAGAATCTAGTAAATAGTTAAATCATGAACTGATACATGTTGTAAGACAGAAAATATAGCTGTATGCATTCTCTTCCTCTAAAAAAATGGTTAGAAGGGTAGAAACAGAGAGTGGTGGTGGATAGGTTGTTTTTGGCCTGGAGGGATGTGAGCAGTGGGGTTCCCCAGGGCTCGATCCTTTGGCTCACATTGTTCAACATCTTTATGAATGACTTGGACGAGGAGGTGGAAAGCACGTTGTCCAAGTTCGCTCATGACATCAAGATGTGGGGTGAGGTGGGCATGCCAGAAGGGAGGGACAGAATTCAGCTAGATCTGGACAGGTTACAGAGATGGGCAGATAAGAATAGGATGAAATTCAATACAGACAAGTGCAGGGTACTGCATCTAGGGAGAAGAAACCAGCA